TGTACACCGACCATTGGCCCTGATGTGGCTGCACCAAATGAAAAGGGCTAATGCCAAGCTGCTGAGATGGAGCCTCCTCCTCCAGGGTTATGACATGGAGGTAGTCTACATGAGGGGGAGCGCCAATGTTATAGCCGATGCTTTATCAGGGGCAGGGGCCTTGAACTTCCCCAGGTCACTGACTAAGTGACCCTGCTCTGTTCAGCCTCAAAGGGGGAGAGATGTGACGGAGTGGGGGGGTTTCTTGGTTTTTTTCCAGGTTTTCCAGTAGGTTGCATGCAGAGGGAATGGGACTCAGTGTCCCTGAATGTCCCATCATACTTGGCTGCTCCCTGGGCATCGCGTGTGAGCAGACACTCTTGGCTCTTAGTTTGAAAATTAAAAGTTGTAAAGCACCAGTGTCACTTTTGGAGACCCAAGTGCCATTTGTCCACCTCAGGCACAGTTTTGAACATTCTTCCACCTGGCCCCACTTTCAGTCATAACCGCTAATTCTCTGGGAGATTTAGATGAAGAAGCACCAGTTTGTATTCCCACATCTGGTAGTTGCTTACCATTTATGCACTCAAATCTGAGCACACAATAGTTTTTGTCACAAATCCACAGGGTCTGGTTTATACCAGCCTGTAACCTGTCCCTTGGGCATGCCCCCTTTGGTGGGCTGGGCCTGGCCTGTGGTCTTCAAGACTCCGAAACTGGGCCTGCGGCACCAGCAATCCTTGTCTCTGTCTATGGCTCCCTGTAGCGAATCCAGGCAGCCTTTTCAAAACAAGGCAACTATTTATTAGTCACCTGGCTACAGAATCTGAAAGTCCTTAGGGCAGAAATGATAAGCAAAGGTGAAGGCATATTCCCCAGTGGCCAAGCCAGTGCAATCAGCCAGCCAAGCTGGTATGGGATCCATTTTTGTCTCTGTCTCCTTATCAGTCCCAAGTGCAAGATTCTCTGTCTCCCCAGAGGCCAGCCCGTCTCCCAGCCATCACCTTTTCCCTTTGTTCTCTAGCTGGGGCCTTTGTCCTGCTTCTCTTCCAAGATCTCCTTCGTTTTGGCTGGTGTTTGCTAGGTCTGACCATCATGGCCACTGGGGTTGTGTAGCAAGGCGGTGGGACACCCCACAGCCCCGCTGAGTGCTGAACCTCCCCTAATCCCAACATGGGCGGAGTCACTGGGTCTGGCGCCCGCCCCTCCGAGGTCACGGCCCCCACCCGGAAGTATAAAAGCCCGCCTGCAGAGCTCAGTGGAGCCCAGGCCGGCGGAGAGAGCAGACGTCCGTGGCCGAGCTCCCGCTTGGGAAACAGCCGCAGGCCGCGACTGGCCTGCTGACTTACCGGGCCGGTTGAGCCTACCTCTCGCCAGGTACCCCGAGGAGGACTGGCCAAGCCTGCCCCGTGCCAGTTACCCTGAGGAGGAGCCAAGCCTGCCCTCCGCTACCTACCCAGAGGAGCCGATGCTGGTGGAGAGCACCGACAACACTAAGACGGCCCAGGTACCATCCGAGGGGGAGTGTGGAAGTAGCCCGGGGGCAGCCGACCCCAGTCTGGCTGCAGCACTGCCAGAGCTGACGTCAGTGTGTTGCGGCCAGGATCCCCACTGACAGCAGCGAACATCCGTCGCTGCTAGGGCCCCGGGCTGGGACGCAGTGGAGTGGGAGGGCCTGCGTCCCCCCTGCCACCCACTCCTTGGGTGGCAGACTCCCCCCTTTTTCCCTAGCCTAGAGAGGCTGGGGGGCTGCCACAAATTGACCCAGCCCCTGCTTAAGGGCCTGGGCCTCTGACAGACTGTTTGCTTGCTGCCCTGCCCTGACCTAGGGCCTGGGCTGCTATAGACTTTGCCTCAGCCCTTGCTTAAGGGCCTGGGTTTTGGACCTCTGGACTCAGACCCTGCTTATGGGCCTGAGCCCCTAACTGTGTGCCTGTTGCCCCGGACTACCGCCGGACCAGAGCGAGGCGCTGGGACACCCCACAGCCCCGCTGAGGGCCGAACCTCGGCCCAAACCTACTACAGGTTCCCATTGACTTTCCAGATTCTCCATGAATCTGGGTCCATTTCTACCAGCCCTTTAATGACCCCTTCATACCACCCTATGCAGCTGTGTGACGCAAACACCTCCTGTCTTTTAATCTGCCCCTAAGAGCAGATTTAACCCATTTGCACCCCCTGGGTAGCAATGCAAAGCACACAGGGAAACTGCAGCACACAGGTGTCAAAGTATTGCAGAAAATGTCCACTTTGTCATGGTATTTGCCCCCCAAAACACCCTTGTAGGTACAATTCTTTGTATGCTAATCTTCAATCCACAGTGAGACCTCCCATTGGAAAATCTGATCCTAACCTTTGCAGACACTTCTCTGGGAATTCACAGGATTCAGAACTGGCACTTGCTAGCCATTGAGAGTCACCCTCTCTCCATAAACTGCTCCTCCAGCCTGACTGGCCAGTTTTTCAGCTTTTCTGGTGGGGAGGGGGACAGGGCAGTGTCACGGACTCACAGGGTCTGGGCTATGCCCGAACCTTCCATCGGACTCCTGCTAGTAACTACTTTAGTGTCCTGGACCCTAAGCATCCCCCCTGTTCTGCCACAGCCAGCCTGTAACTTCAACGACTCTGAGACCGGGGCCATTTGGCAGCTGAACTGAGGTAGGGTCCTGTTCAGACTTTCCTCTCCAGGGTGCAGTGCCCTCAGTGAGGATCTGCAGCGACCCCAGGCAGCCTTTTCAACACAAGGTAACCATTCACCAGTCACCTGCAATACAGAAGCTGAAAGGCTGTAGGCTAGCATCAAAGAGGTAGTCTTAGGCCAGAGATCAGATGGGGCAGGGTCCCATGGGTTCACCATGGCCTGCTTCTGTGGGCTCCACCTTTGTTCTCTCCTTGTCCTGCTCTGACTCCAGCAGCAACCTCACCCCTTTGTTCTCCAGCCACAGCCAGGTTCAGGTGCCTCAGCTTCCCCTTTGGTAGGTGTTCATGCCCAGGCATTGAGGTTTCCATTGTTCTGTAGGGTCTCCCATTCAACCATGCGGATTGGAACCTAGACAGCCCTAGTGGCTCCATGTCCCAAACACCACCTGCTCTCTCTGGCCAGGGGGAGCATTTTAACCCCCTGCATGTATTGTTCATAAAAGTAAATTACCACTTTCATCACAGGCAGCTCTGGGGGTGGCTGGGAGAGAGGGGGAGGGAAAAAAAGGCAGGTAGGGATCTTAGTGGAATGGAGGGCTCAGGGAGAGGGGTAGAGAAAGGAGGGAGTCCTGGCTGGAAGTGGGACTGGCTTCACCTGGGCAGTAGGCAGCTTCAGTTCCAATTCACTCTTGTGCCAAGGCTCTAGATTCCTGTTTCCCCTCAGCCAGTCCCACTGCAGCCCCTGGCCTCACCAGTGAGTCTTTCCCACTGGCCTCCTGCTGCCTGACTCAACTCCCTCCCCGAGGTTAAGGGACCCCACAGCCCTTCTCCTCAGGGCTGTGCTGCAATTCAAGCCGGCTTCCCCAGGCTCCCAGCTGGTTCCTATTCCAGGAATCCTCTCTCCACTCATGGCTCCCCTGCAATTCTCCCCTCACCCTCTTCCCATCAGTTACCCTAACAGCTGGATGTTATGTTAAGAAAGTAGCCACCTTCTTCAGCTGGGCTGCTGCTTCTTTGGGTACCTCTTTCCTTAATGGAGCCATGTCATGGAGCAGGGTTTGCTGGCCCCAGGCTCCACCAGCCCTCCCAGGGAACTGTACATGATTCCACCTCAGCCCCAAGTGCCCCTTGTGGCTCAGCCCCCCAGCACTGGGGTTGCCATCCCCACTTCCCCTCTCATGTCCTTAAGAACTGTGACTGGCTCTTGGTTCTATCATACCCACAGTGGATTAATTTAAATCACTTTGGTTTTAAATTAACAATTTTAATCATGCTTCAAATCAGCAAACAGGAACCCTTGATTTAAATCATCAATTTAAACTGTTTTGCATTTGTACTTTTTATTTTCCTAAAGAAAGGTTGATTCTTCTTGGTTGATAACTGTTAGTTCAAATGAGCATGTCTTTGAATACAGCCTTTACACTCCATTTGGTGTTTCTTTTTTGCTAACCAGGATGCTACACTATACCCATACATATTTTGAGCAATTACAGAGCTTACTGTACATTTATTCAGATTCATCTAGTAATAAACATGTACAAATTAATCTTTTACTTGTGATTTATGTCAAGCTCTATTTGGATGGAAATTCACTAGAAGTGCACAAAACCCAGCATTTTAACATTTTATTTAATAAAACTATCTAAAATGTGTTGGATACACAAGAAAAAAAGTTTATCAAACCATAGTTTGCATTTAAAGCCGATGTATTAAACAAAGGCAGTAGTAGCCGCAGTTAGTGAATTGAACTGATTATTTCTGGTCACCATGTCCCTCAGGATTTAGAACTAGTAGATCTTGTCCTCTCAGACCTAGTTTTTATTCATTGGGAGAGAAATAAAAGCAGAACAGCTCATTTTCCAACTCCCCAGTTGGCTTCTTAACTTTGAATGAACTAGTCACTGAACTGAACTTGTTGAATAACCTGAAAAGAAGAAAATCTTCTCTCTACACCTGCAAAAGAGGCAACTGCTGTCAAAAGCTGGTTTAGCACTTCAGCAAACTCTGGTTGCAGGTGCAGAGCCCATGATTTCCAGCAGTTCAATGGTCTGACCTTCGTTAAAACTTGGCAGCAAATATGTATTGTTTAGTATTAAGTTTTATATTTATATTATGTTGTTGTAACAGACATGTTTAGGCTTCCAGACAGGTTTATTTTTAAAAAATAAACTTGTTTTAATTTAAATTTAAAAAAAAAAATCTAAAAATCAACATTGGATTTTTTTCAAAGTCATGGCGTATCCACCCAGATCAGACCCATCCCTGGGATCAGCTTATTACAAAAACTTGTGCAAACAGTCCACAACAACATTCCAAAACAACATTCCATTTATCACCCCCAGCACGTATAGTTCTTAAAATCCTATGACATCTGGGCCATCTTCCACCACACCTGGCCTCTTTGGTCCTCTCTTGTCCTTCTGCCATGTCAGCTACCCCAGCTGGAGCGCAAACCCATTCTTCCCAGCAGTAACCCCCACAGCCTCTCCCCTGGGACTTCATCCTCATCAGGGAAATATCCAGCACTCGGCCTGTTAGAGATGAAAGGTAACAGAACAGGGCACCACATCGGCCCTACCAGTGTTCCCCTGGCCCTCAGCTCTCTCTGGCTCCAGCATGGAGAAGTCAGCTGGTAAATCCCTCTGCCACTCCCCTGTCTTCAGCCTTCCCCTAGCAACATCCTATAGCTTTCTTCAAGGACCTCCTCCTCCTCGCTGAGTCTCCCTGATCCTTTATAGCTCCAAGTGCTGCCCTGACCTCTTAACTGGTCAAACATGGATTACCTGTTCTAGCACAGGGGCACTGGACCAGCGTCATTTAAAGGGGTCAACTTGTTACGGTGTATCCCTTCCAACAAGTTCCTGTACCAGTTTGGGAATCTCTGTGCTAGACATAATCTGAGGAGGGAAGGGGCTCATTAAGTGGAACCCATGTGGGGGCAGAGAACTCAAGCTAATAGGATTAAACTGAGCAAAGGGAAAATATCACCTACCCCCAAGGAATCTAACTCTGGAGACCCATCACCCCAAGGGAAGCCCTGGGGAGAGTCTGTAAGGAATAAAGACCCAGCTTCCTTCATCTTCAGGTAGTGGAAGGTGTGTCCCCAATAAAGCTTTTCCAGGCCTCGTTCCTAAGAGTCTCCAGGTTTTAACTCCACAGCACGTCCCTTCCCCATCGTATAGGGATCAGATTTGCTGCAGATCCAGCGTCTCCATGTGCTGCACCGCGAGCTGCCGAACCAGTTCTCATCAATCAGAAAAACACAGTTGCCGCCTCCTCTTATCGGGAACCTGCAACAGAGATGCCAGGAGTGGGAGTCAGGGAGGGGCGGGGCATTGCCCATCACTCACGGACAGGGCTGCACTCAGAGGCATTGACCCCATTTCAGACTCCTCCTCCCTGGCAAACGTAGGCAACAAGTAGTGGCTATTGCAGGGCAGGGAGAGGAGAAAGCGGGTGGGGCTGAAAGACGACAGCTGGGGCTTCCAGAAGAGTCTTTGTGCTGGTAGATATTAGGTACGACTTGCCCTCTACTCAGCTTTGCCTGACGCTCTCCCCGCGCCCCAACTTTCTCTCCAGGCCCATTCAGCCCAGAGGGGAGAGAATCCACAGATTGGTAGCGAGCAGCAGCAGCTCCTCTCTGCGGAGAAGAGTTTGATATGATCCACTGCGGCCTGGGGAGGAACTGTCAGAGAGGCCGCGAGCCTGTTTCAAACCCCACGGGCTGTCAGGGGAGACTGTTAGTAGTGAAATGAGATTTCTCCCTACAGCCTCAAATTACCCCAACAGTGAAGGACCCTGTTCATCTCCGCACACCACTCCTCAGAGCGAGCT